CGCTCAATCTGCAATGTGATATCCAGTCACCTTAACCTCCACACCACCTGACTGGCCCTCTGTCTTCTTCAGACCTGTGATCAAGCTAGGAGACAAGTCCTGAGTGTGAGTGTTTTGGCCTCTACTCTGTCTTTGGCCAAGTGTCCTTAGATTCTGTCTTCATTTTTTCATCCCTCGGGGTTGGACCAGAGCTGCCACCTCCCCTAGAGAGTGGTTCTAGGGGCGTGGGGGAGGCTCTTGTACCCTCTAACTGGAGGCCCTCTCTCCCAGGATCTCCCAAGCCACAGGAAAGGTCCAGATAGCCTGGCCTTGGCCAGACCCCTCCTCTGGCCTCAGTGGCTCCACTCACCTGGGTGTCCCCGATGCCTAACTTGCCTGGTGCTGGTGAGGTCTGTACCCGGACACACTGTGGGCCCTGCTCCAAGGTAGCGGGGCTGCCATTTCCATCACTCCGTCCTTGAGATCACGTGTCCCACCGCATCAGATTCAGCAGAGAGCTGGCTGGGTGGGGTCGGTGGAAGGGAGGTGGGCTCGCCAACCCACTGCTGGGCCTTCTAAGAGGCTGAGTGCCAGCCCGTCTCTGCTGGTAGCAGGTTCACTTGGCTCTAGGGCTGCTGGATGGCTGGAGGCAACGCCGAGCCCTGGCCAGTTTAGGTGGCTGTCCCCGAGGCCCTCCCAAGGGCCTCTCTGCCCAGACCTTCATTTCTGGGTGCTGGGGCCAGGGCAGGGAGGAAGTGGGTGACAGAGGACCGTTCACGGGTACCCTGGCAGACAGAGCTGTGTCTGGACAGACAGGGGCGGGGGGCGCGGCGCGCCGGCCGGCGCCGGCGGCAGCTGCAGCCGGACGGCTGGGAGCTGCAGTGAGCCCTGTCTGACCAGGGATAGGGAAGGGCTGGCAAGCTCCTGAGAGGGGCAGCTGCTATAAAGGACTTAGGGCCACAGCAGGACGAGAGACCAGAGGAGACGGCATTGAGCTGGCCGAGGGGGAGCGGCGGAGGCGGTTTTTGTTTTTAATGGCTTCCTTTCTCATTTACAGTTTCCCCTTCTGTAGCCAGAGTCATGGTTTTCAAACGGTCGCTAAAACCGGTGGTAGTCACTTCCGTTTTCTTGAAGTTGCTGAGGGTTGCAGAGGGTGGGGGTGGCAGGCGTGTGACACCTGCAGGAGTGTTCAAATGATCTGAGGAGTAGCTCTTGAGTCACAGGCAAGGCCCAGTCGTTATCACCTGGGGTAGTGACCGTCTCTTGCCTGTTGGTTTGAGAGGCCCATGCACGGTCTCAGGGACAGACTGGTGGGCTCTCGCGGAGTCGGGACCCCTGCCTCGCTGCAGGCGTTGCCTCGGCAGCCCTGCCTGGAGAACTTGTCTGCGTTGCACAGATGAGGAGCCTGGTGCCAGACCTGGGCTTGCCAGCGTAGAGGAGGACCGAATTCTCCTCTCCTTTCAGACTCCCAGACTGCCTGCGAGTCCTCTTAGCTTAGAAGAGTCGGGGCTTGGCTGGAGTGGCGAGAGTCTGTGGGGGAAGGTTCCCCTCGCCGCTCTCCGCATCTCCTCTGCGTTCTCTTCAGAGCTGGCGCGCCCTGCTCCTCGCGGCCAGCCATGCTCGGTTGCATTTGGTCCTTCCAGCTATTGGTTTTGGAGGAGTGCCCAAAGCAGGGAGTTCAGGGTGCTGCCTGGGCTTTGAGAGCCAAGGCTCAAGGGGAGGCTCCTCGATGCCACCCCCACCCCAGCCAAACCTTGTCTTGCTCTGGTGGTCTCCTCCATGGCCTCCTGGCAAGCTAGCCTTGGGAGGGAGACCTGACCGAGTCCCTGAAGCAGGGGTGAGATGGTAGCAAGGGTGGGCCTTTGACTGGACCCTCTAACCAGCGCCTTAGAAGTGGGCCGATGGGCCTCAGCTGTGAGGCCTGCCTCCTGTCAGGGATCCCGGCTCCAGCTGTGCTGGACGGTTCTGTGGGTGGGACTGTGTGAGTGTTCTTTGTGACCTGCTTCACCGTGTGGCCTGGCGGCTTCCCGCCGTGGGAAGGTCTCTCATGTGGACAGGCGGTTTGCTCCACCCTGGGCTTCTACTTGCTGCTCCTCGCGCGTGAGCTCAGGCGGGAAGTTGGCAGAGTGATGTTAGCTTGGCGGTTGCCCTTGAGATTATTCTGGTCCCAGGTACACACTTGGCAGGATCTGCCCTTCCCTTACCGTCACCACACGACCTGTGTGCTCACCTGTGACCTGGGCACCCGTGGCCACCTACCACCTTCTTCATTACCGAGTGCAGTAGGAAGCAGGGGGTCCTTCGAGGAGGCCTGGTGTCTGGGTGGAAGCGAGGTGGGGCTGCCGTATCTCCACCGCACCGCCACCCTCTCCAGCCACCGCCCCCCCCCCCCCCCCCCCCCCCCCAGCCACCGCAGCACGTCCTCACACCTGCGTGGGCCCAAGGCCGCCTGTTCCTCGCGAGCCTCCCCACTCTCCACCTGGCAGTGCCAGATTCTGGGTGTGGCGGGAGGGCCGGGGCGTGAGGGCTGACTGACAGGTACATTAGTGGCAGCAGCCCCTGCTCAGGGGCAGGGCCTTGTGAAAATATAGTGGTTTGTAGACAGGTCTGCCGCTCCAGTCCCAGCCCGAGCGCTCCTCGCCGGTGCCAGGGCTTGGGCTGGGTGCTGGGCTGGGTGCGGCCTATGTGCTCGTGGTGACCAGAGGGAGGCGTTGGAGCCATCGGGTCAGGGCGCGTGCCCCCTGAGCACATGGTCACTGTGTCCTGAGATGCCCCCCGACAGTGCCACTTGCCATGCAGGTGGGATGCATGTTGTAGGGAGCAGCTGGCAGGCAGGATGGGAAAGCTCCCCTGTGAGGCCGGTGCCCTTGGGGGACCCAAAGGTCGGGGCAGAGTTGCTGAGGCGGGCCCAGCTCGGGATGTCCTGGAAACAGGCCATATGAAGGGCGGGAGGTGCCGGAGCAGGGTTTGGAAGGGTGTCTGAGCAGCGAGGCCACACAGAAGCCTGATTCCCTCAGCTCGGGCTCTGTCTCTGCTGGTGGAGGACCGGGCGGGGGGCGCCCAAAAACCTCCAGCAGGGGGCAGGGGTGGGAGGTGCAGGTGGGTAGAGGAGGTGGTTCTGGTGCTTGTCACGCTTGGGGGGAGGGTCAGCATCATAGATGGGCTGGGGTGGGCCCAGGCCTGAGCGCCGGGTGGCGATGGGGTCAGGCAGGATGGGCTGTGCTGTCACAGCTGGACTGTGGGGCCTGCAGGCTGTAGCCATCCACACCTGATCAGAGGTGTCTGTGGGGTGAAGCACGGGGGGTGGACCTGGAGTCACCTGGCCAGGTCCCTGAGTCCATGAGGCTCGGCCTATAGGTGGGAAGCTCCACAGGAGCGCCAGTGTGTTGGCAGGCTTGCTCCCTCTGCTGGGCAGGTGCTGGAGCAGCTGCATCTGGGCGCACAACTGCCCAGTGCCCGCAGGCCTGGGCAGGGCTCTGCGTTCCTCTGGCACCTCGCTCCTGGCTCCCAGCTCCCCCACCCGCCAGCCCGCCCTGCGCTGGGCCAGGCAGTTTGCTCTCCAGCATTTCCTCCTTCGGGTCTGCGGCAGTTGGCCGAGGTAATGGCTGTGGGTCCTTAGCAAGGTGGTCCTCACGGGGAGGTGTGGACACAGCCAGCAGTTTGGTCCACCATCCACACAGACCCCCACGACCTTGTGGTGTCCAGCACGGCACCGTGGTAAGTCACATAACTCAGGCACATTCCCGGGGGACATGAGCTGTGGAGGAGACACGCCAGATGACAGTCACAGTAGCAGTGAGACTGAAGCCCCTCTGGAAGCTGGGGCCAGCTTGCTTCCTGGGGCAGGGGCGTCAGACTGGACCAGGGAGGTGGAGGTCAGTCAGTGAGCCGTCACGCGGCAGTGATACAAGAGCCCGGTGTGCAGCCTTGGGGGCGGACCGCCGCTTGGATGCTTTGGGGGTGGGCTCAGTGTGGGGGCCACTGGCAGCTGCGCCAGGCTGGGGTGCTGAACGCCAAGGCTGCGGGGCCACCACAGGGCCTGGGCCAGAATGCACAGAGGACCCGAAGGCAGTTACGGGGGCGCAGACCAGGCCAGGGCAGTGCTGTGGCTGGCTGGGACTCCACAGGCCACCGAGGATCTCATGTGCCCTGCACCAGCCTGGAGCCCACTGCCTTCGCCACACACAGGATTGCTCCACTTGGCCTCCGCATCGTCAGCTGGCATCGTCAACCAGGCTTCGGAACCGTTCTGGTTGGGATTGTCGTAGGTTTAGCGTCTCTGCAGACAGGCGGCCTCAGGACGAGGTGTCACTGAACTGGGTCTTGGGGGCTGGGGTTGCCCAGGCAAGGCGGGAACAAAAGTCACACCGGCGACCCATGGGTGGGCAGAGGCCTAGAGAGGCCGCGCTGCCCGTCTCTGTGCAAGCCGGCACCCCGTCCCATCTCCCTGAGCCGCAACTGGGCCTGTGCACAGGCTCGGGGGGGGGCGCCA